CAAGTGATAAGTGATTTTGAACGGAGACCAGGGTTGAGGTTTAGATTCTGTACAAGTGATAAGTGATTTTGAATGGAGACCAGGGTTGAGGTTTAGATTCTGTACAAGTGATAAGTGATTTTGAACGGAGACCAGGGTTGAGGTTTATATTCTGTACAAGGGATAAGTGATGTTGAATGGAGACTAGGATTGGGGTTTAGAATCTGAAGTTTTCACATCATCATCAGCCCACAAAGTAGGCCAGTCTAATCATTTAGAGTTAAACATGGATTTTGATAGAATATCTTCTTCAGAGCTTTCTGGCCAAAGGGGAAATTATGATATATATCATTTTCTTTAAATCAGCAATTTCTCAAAGGGACCAGCTAAGATTATAGCAGTAGAATTGGAGTAGATAAGGAAAGGGCAGAAAGGGGGAAAACAGGAATTGAGATGCCACAAATTTCAGCTAATGCTACTCTTTGTACATAAGATATGGTTGAAATGGTCATGTTAATAGTTTCATACAAATCAAAATATATATTACCACTATGTGGAATACCATTGTAGATTACTTTATGATACCCTACCCAGGTTAATATCCCTCTTATTTCTACATTTCTAGAGCATGGTAATGAGGGCAGCCATTGGAGACTTTGAGGATTCTCAGATATATGGTTCCATACATCAAAATGGTGACACAGTTACCCTGGGAGACAAGAGGCACTTTTTCCTTCCTGACATTCGGTCGTTTGCTCTGGTGGCGTTGGAAGTAGTATCCAAGATGTGTGAGAAACGTTTCCTCAGTATGCAATACCAGTGGGACCAACAAGTGGCCAATGAGCCACAGACATACAGTGAAGCCAATCAGGGCCCTGGTTATAGCCCTGCTGTTCAGGCCTCAGCCAATCAGGTTGGTGATTACATGGAGGTTTATCACAGTGATTCTGATGAAGAGGACAATATGCTGTATCATAGAAGACGGCAACCTCCTGGTGTGCAATCCCCAGGCGAGGTCATTGAGGAAATCGGTCGACGCAGTCGCAGCATGTCACCCCGGAGTCGTCCCCAGTCGGCTCAGTCCAATAAGAGTCGGTCGCGGACATTGTCTCCTGACAATAGTCGTGGCAAGTTCCTCAACTCAGTGCAGACAAACTATCCCAGTCGATTGAGTACTCCAGACTCTAATGTTATCTCTCCTGAGGACGAGTACCCATGTTTACCTAAAAACACACCAGATGGTCTGGTATCTAAAGAACGCCCTTTATCACCAGAGCGACCATCATCAGGCAAAAAATCACCAGGGCGACCAAAGACTCCCTCAAAGAAATCTAAAAATAAGGATCAAGCATTTGAGGCATTTGCTTCTGAAGGTAAAAAGAATAAGTTAAAAGGTTTGAAGAAAATTGACAGTAAAAAATGGCTATCTAAGCCTGGTTCACTGATACGGACGTTGACTGGAGCAGAGACAAGTGTGTCTGTGTTCAAATCTAAAGAGTTAAGAGACGATGACGCAGAGGAAATAGATGATGAGGAAATTGACTATGGGCCACTTAGAATGAAACAAGCATTAATGGCTCGCAATGATTCCTCAAACTCCATCACATTTGAGAAAGATCGGTATTTACACCGCTCCTCATCTAAGCAGAGTGACCAGTGGAGTATCCTTAGTGACATGGATTACGGCACATCACATGGACTCCGCAAAACTGTGTCGACAGACTCGCGTTCCTCCATGTGGTCTAACCTACCCCTTCCTGTGGAGATGATAGACATTGAAGGGGGTGGGGAAAGGGATCGGTTTGAGACTATGGTAAGTCAGTTACCAGGAATGACTGATTCTTTAGACTATCACCCAGCGTCAAGCAGGGCCAGTGATAACTGGAACCCAAAGTTTAATGGAGCATACAAGCCTGGGTCGTACTGGAGACACGATGGGCCTGGGCCCTCACAGTTTGAGCTAGTGGATTACTATGATGAACTACAAGGGAAATATGTTAAAAAATTACAGCTCCGAGCGGGTATCAATCGGACACTGTCGGGATCCCAGATCGTGGGGACCCCTGTCCATCGAACTTACTCCGGGACCCAGATTTTACACAAAACCAGTTCTGGGTTACAGGAGATTCTTGAGCAGGCAGAAAGTATGGATGAAGACGAGCCACCACAACCCAACAACCAAAACACTACCAACGATCAAACCACTGCAAAGTCCATTGACCACAGCAAATCACAGCCTGTGAAAAAGTTGAAAGCTAAAATACTAAAAGAGGTAAAATCTGAAAAACTTTTACGTTCAAAGTCTTTGGATCGAATTACTCCACAAAAGAAAACACAAAAATCAAAAGAGTTGTCCAAAAATGAACAGCGACAAGTTGTAGCAGCAACTCCCGAGCCAAATATCAACCCAGAAATCTCTGCTCATAGGAGAGCTCGCGCGAGGAAGGCTCTAAAAGGGGCCCTGGGTAAGGGTAACATGCCCCATGTGTTTCCCCTACAAAGGGATTCCAAGCGTGGACAGAAGCGAGAAATGGAAGTAAAATATGCAAGTGTTAAAAAACTTCAAACTCAGGGTAGCAATGCTGACACAAACACAGATGTGAATATAGACATGGACTATGAAGCAGATAGAGATGAATCAGGTGAGAAATATAAAGATTCTGATACGTCTTCACAGAGATTGTGTGATTCGTTTGTATTGACCAGTGATGGATGCGACCGGCCGCAGGCCACCACCGGTATCCGTAAGTATCACAGCTTCAGCAGTAATGACAGTACCAGTAGTCTGGGCTCCAGTATACGCCTTAAGAAGGCAGATGTGTCGCTCACAAGTGGTGAGCTCACATCGCTGTCCTCACAGGCAGACCATGATATTGACGAACAAACTGGGCGTGACCCAGATTTACCATCTAAAGAAGTGCTTCTACGAAGAACTATGCAAAACAAAGCCAAAGTTGTTGACAGTGGTTTTGACAGTGAGAGTAGTGAGGTTTCCTCCGATGTGTATGGACATCATCAGCATTACAACTTCTCCTCAGACGACTCGGCCTACCCCGACCACAGGGACCGTCGGGTACTTAGGAAACCATTCCGTAACACATTAAAGAAACCAGTTGATAGTAATGAGTGGCAAATGTCTGAGAAAGCATTCGTCATTACTGGTTTCAGTACAGAAAGTATGAACAAGCTGGACACCATCAGCCCTGATACTGTTGACGGACGTGGTGCTGTACAAGATACTTTTGCTGAGGAACATGTTCCTAAGGAATATGTTGTCATAGATAGTGTGGTGAGAGACAAGGATTTCCCTAATGATGTGTCAGATGAGGAAGTGTTGGAAGATGATTTAATGAATTCTCAGGGAAAATCGAGAATCATCCAGGTGTCTGCTGCCCCATTAACTGTCATGAGTATTGACCAGAAGGCGTTTCAGGAACAGATCTTCGACAACAGCCCAGTTCCTCCCCCACAACCCAAAACACCAACCCCTATTGAGGATCGACCACCAACACCTGGAAGATCAGGGTACAGACAACCCAAGTCTGCCCCTTCTATAGAGAACAGACCACCAACTCCTGGACGATCCGTTCATAACCGTCCCAAAACTCCCCTCAGGAATACGAATGACCAGCTGGAGGTCAAACCCAACATGCAACATGCCAGCCCCCTAGTGGCCAGTAAACGGTACCGGGAGTTGACTATGAAAGGAGTTCCCCTACGGGTGTCAGTCATTTCTGCAGATGGAGAGGAAAAGTGTGATGAGAAAACAATGGTCGATAGTGAGAAGGAGAGATTAAAAGAAATAAATGATGAACTTATTGATAACCAAACAGATGATCAGAAACTCTTTGATCATTTAGAATCAAATGGTTTCTTCCATTTGCCTCCAAAGAAAATCAAAGATAGACCTCTGTCTAGTGGTATCTTTCCTACAGCTCATGTGTCACGGAGAGATCACCATTTGAAGAAAAAACGAGGTAGACCCCGTCCCCATAGACTCGCTCTGGATGAGATTATTCGTGAACTCCCAGAGGACAAAAGTCCTTCACCACGACTCCTTTCACCAACTACTAATATTATATCCAAAGACTCCTTCAACAGTCATTCCGGGAGTGAGGCCATGCTCAACCAGCCTTCCTCCATGGATGAGTCTGAGAGTGTCCACCTGAGTCCGGCTCACTATGTGTCACCTTTAGCCAATCAACCATCAGTTGTGGTGGATGCAGAGCTATACATAGATCGTGTTTACTCTCAAACACAAACCTTGGATCCCAAACCACGACCTGTACATATGATGGACCCAGACTTTGATGTTCAAATCACCCCGGAAAGCAAGGGACTTTCCACCGTCTCCTATTTACCTGCAGGTCAAGAGTCACGTAGGGAGGGTCAGATGGGCCGGGAGGTGGATTTGGATGAAGATGAGGATGAAGAGGTGACTCTACTGAGTGGGATGGATGACAAGCACATCATCAACTGTCAAAAACTTACCTCTGACATGCATCTGCTCTCCTTCAATGACCTCCTGCCAGCAAGGAAGGAAAACTTTGAGATCCTAAAGGCTAAGCTATATGAGGGTGGACAACTGGGCAATATTGGTTTCCAGGTAAGTAAGCCAAAATTTACACATTCTCTTCTCCTCAATGTACAAGCCAGTATACCTGGTTTCTAACACGTTCCCTATATGTATCTGTGTTTCCCTGATATCAGTTTATCTCAACTATGTCTTTGATAACAGTGTACTGAATTACTGTGTGCTTTTGTCTCTGAATACTAGGTCTATATTTATCTGTACTGCATCTCACTTTGTCTATAATTTGATCTTTCTACTTGCAGCTCCTGGAGGTCATAGACAAGTGCTGGCTGAGTGAGTTACCACCCTCCTCTTCTGACCTTGTCACACAGCTACTAGATCCAGTTGCAGAGACAGAACTTTGATTGGTGGATGTCAGAAAAACAGGCTTATGATTGGCTTGTTGGAGAAACAGGCTTGTGATTGGTGCACATAGAGAAACCGGCTTGTGATTGATGATAGATAAATGGGAATGTGATTGGTGATGGTCAAAAGTAGTTCTGATTGGTGATTGTGAGAGAAGAGAGCTTGTGACCCAGGTCAACATCACATTTTATTTTCCATGATGCCTTACTCTGTCCCTAGTAACATGATGCCTTATATACTCTCCGTCCCTTGTGCTAAGCATAACCTTACTCTCCGTCCCTAATAACATGTGCCTTACTCTCTGTGCCTAGTAACATTGGTACCTTACTCTCCGTCCCTAATAACATGTGCCTTACTCTCCATGCCAAGTAACATTGGTACCTTACTCTCTGTCCCTTGTAACATTTGTACCTTACTCTCCGTCCCTTGTAACATTGGAACCTTACTCTCTGTCCCTTGTAACATTGGTACCTTACTCTCCGTCCCTTGTAACATTGCGATTGGTACCTTACTCTCCGTCCCTAGTAACATTGGTACCTTACTCTCCGTCCCTAATAACATGTGCCTTACTCTCCGTGCCTAGTAACATTGGTACCTTACTCTCCGTCCCTAGTAACATTAATTGGTACCTTACTCTTCGTCCCTAGTAACATTGTACCCATTATACTTTCCATCTCTAGTAATATTGGTGCCTTACTCTCCGTGCCTAGTAACATTGGTACCTTACTCTCCGTCCCTAGTAACATTGGTACCTTACTCTTCGTCCCTAGTAACATTGTACCCATTATACTTTCCATCTCTAGTAATATTGGTGCCTTACTCTCCGTCCCTAGTAACATGGTGCCTTATATACTCTACATCCCTTGTGCTAAGCATAACTGTGATATTTTGGCACCACACAGTCATGTATATACGTATATTTCAGAATTATTTTGAGCCATTATTTATACTCATATTCCTAACCAGCATTAGTTGATGTAATGGGTTACAATTTCATTATCAGCGTCAACATTTACGGATGGACATGTATGCCTGTGTAAAACAAATATGAAACTATTGAGATTTCCTCAAAGAAATTTCTACCACCTGTGTCAGAAATCTGCACTATTTAAGTCAAGTTCCTGTCACTGAAAAAGGTTGTATCTCATTATCAAAATGTACATACAACCGTAATTCATATCACGTCACTAAAACAGGTATTCAATGGTTAATATCATGTCACATACACAGGGATAAAGACTATAGTTCTGAGCCTTTGTCACATGTATGTCACATACACAGGGATAAAGACTGTAGTTCTGAGCATTTGTCACATGTATGTCACATACACAGGGATAAAGACTATAGTTCTGAGCCGTCTATGTAGCCATTATTTTGGTCAGTATTTAGTCCATCTATTTATGCATAGGAAACAGACATCTAGCATGTGTAAAAAGTAAAAACAAGTCAGGTGCATGTTTATATATATATTTTTTATGTCATCTCATATAATTCACATTTAACTCATAATAATTCATGGTTGATGTAAGTCCATATCAGGACAATTTCACAAAAAGACAAAATAAACTGAAATAAACAATGATGTAAGGTTTATACAATTACTTGTATACTTAATATTGACGATTTACGGAGATGGGTCACCGGTACATGTACATAACGTACATGATTCATGATATACAGGGACTGTAGTATATCTTAAAATCTACACAATATAATAAAACATTAATGAGTTCACTTTATAAATGCAACAGACTATGAAAGATGTTTTGTGTGGAAATATTTGTTACGAGTTTCTCCCCTCCCAAACTACTGGTAACCTTTACCCGAGGTCTCCTTATAAATTGAATATAGGTTACCGGGGAAATAAACTACAGGTAACCTTTCCTAAGGCCACCGTACATGTAAGTTACCATGGTGATAAACTACATGCAACCAGAAAAGGTTGCTTTACAAGTGATAAATGATTGCAATGTTACTGCAACCAATTTGTTGTTTATTATACATTCATTTTACAAACAATATTCATCATGTTGATTGGAATTGTTATTAAGTTTTAACCCAATATTTTTTATGTAAACCAAATTGTTTATTTATTAAAACTATTGGACATAAGTTGTATTTTTGTCTTCTTTTCTGGTCTTTGGTAGTTTTTGGTGGTGAAAATTAGTCATTTGACAGACAAGACTTAAAATGATTTTAGATGTTAGGAATGTTTACTTCCATTGTTTTATTGTACAAACAAGGGTTGTGATACTTAGACTACCCCCACCCCACTTCTCAATGATAGGGGAAATCAGTCCTTAGACTATCCCCACCCCACTTCTCAATGATAGGGGAAATCAGTCCTTGGACTACCCCACTTCTAAATGTGTTTACATATGGGAAGGGAGATAACTCAAGAAGAATCACAGGTTTAGAATTATTTTCAAAAGGACTTAAAAATATGTATACACTGCCACAAATCAGAAGATATCACAGTAGTTCATGGACACATGATATCTTGTGTATATATCTAAGGTGTTTATACAGGAGTTTATTGTAGGTGTTTACAGTCAGGGGAATATCTGAGCTGTTTACATGGACATCTGTTTACAGTCGGGGGATATCAGAGGTGTTTACAGTCAGGGGATATGGTAGGTGTATATCTGAGGTGTTTATATGGACATCTGTTTACAGTCAGGGGATATCGGAAATGTTTACATGGACATCCGTTTACAGTTAGGGAGATCTAGCGTAAGGTGTATACATGTGGACAGTATATCTAAAGTAATCACTATATTATTATATGCCTATACCTTGTGGCACCTGGTCCCTGGTATTACTCTCTAATGATAGTCCTGGAGATGTACTGTATACCTTGTGGCACCTGGTCCCAGGTATAACTCTCTAATGATAGTCCTGGAGATGTACTGTATACCTTGTGGCACCTGGTCCCAGGTATAACTCTCTAATGATAGTCCTGGAGATGTACTGTATACCTTGTGGCACCTGGTCCCAGGTATAACTCTCTAATGATAGTCCTGGAGATGTACTGTATACCTTGTGGCACCTGGTCCCAGGTATAACTCTCTAATGATAGTCCTGGAGATGTACTGTATACCTTGTGGCACCTGGTCCCAGGTATAACTCTCTAATGATAGTCCTGGAGATGTACTGTATACCTTGTGGCACCTGGTCCCAGGTATAACTCTCTAATGATAGTCCTGGAGATGTACTGTATACCTTGTGGCACCTGGTCCCAGGTATAACTCTCTAATGATAGTCCTGGAGATGTACTGTATACCTTGTGGCACCTGGTCCCAGGTATAACTCTCTAATGATAGTCCTGGAGATGTACTGTATACCTTGTGGCACCTGGTCCCAGGTATAACTCTCTAATGATAGTCCTGGAGATGTACTGTATACCTTGTGGCACCTGGTCCCAGGTATAACTCTCTAATGATAGTCCTGGAGATGTACTGTATACCTTGTGGCACCTGGTCCCAGGTATAACTCTCTAATGATAGTCCTGGAGATGTACTGTATACCTTGTGGCACCTGGTCCCAGGTATAACTCTCTAATGATAGTCCTGGAGATGTACTGTATACCTTGTGGCACCTGGTCCCAGGTATAACTCTCTAATGATAGTCCTGGAGATGTACTGTATACCTTGTGGCACCTGGTCCCAGGTATAACTCTCTAATGATAGTCCTCTGTCATTCTCCATAATGAGGTCAATATATGATGATAGTGAAAATCAGTACAAAACATGCAAAACATATTAAAACCTTATGAAGAGCATAATTTACACTGCACCAAAATGGATTGTACCGGTGGAGGGTGGTAATTTGATTGGGGAGGGGCTATCTTGTATACAGTCGTCTCCAAGGAGGAGGTGCTGTTAGGAAGTGTGCCCTTCTTTGGCAAAGAACCTACAATTATGGGCGGATGGAAATTAATGTAAATAAAAATTATTAAGATCAACGTACCCGAACATTACTTTAAAAATATACTGAATAGAAATTATAAAGGTACCCCAACATAGCATTAAAAATATACTGAACAGATATCATTAAGGTACCCTATCGTGACCTTAGAGACTATAGATACAAAAACCATGAAGGTACCACAACAGGACACTTAGCGACCATGCCATACAGAAATAATTACAGTACTCTAACAGAGAACTAGAGACCATACCATACAGAAATAATTACAGTACTCTAACAGAGAACTAGAGACCACTTGTATAATACATCTAAAAGTTGAGAAATATCAAGCAATGTATTGTCTATGATAAATCTTAGACTTTAGAAAATCTCAAGAGTTGAGTTGTTTTATACAGGCATACAGACACTATTTAAGGACCTTTACATAATAATTCAGCAAACAAAGTGCTTAATATATATAACAACTATGATGATCAAAATCTTAAAGATCATACACAAAAAATGCCTTAAAATAACAAAAAGGTAGCTGCTTTCGTAACAAAGAGACGTCTTAAACACACACACGCTGTACAACAATTCTCCAAAGTTCTTGTGATACCTTGGAGTTTAAAGTTAGTGCTGTAAATATCTAGTTCCGTTGATTGTTCGGTGGGTAATGACTTTCACACACATCATTCTATGTTCAAGACAATATATATATAATTATGCCTTACTAAATTCCATACTGCTATGACAATTAATTTTATACATGATTACAAGCTATGTGTTAAAGGGAGTTTCCCTGAAGCTCAATTGGTAAGGGAAGCTGGGGGGTCACATTAAAACGCACAGGTTCTGCTTAAGTCTTCACTTGAGCACAGTATTGCCATTATGCCAGCATACCAAAAATTAGACTTTATTTAATGATTATTCTGGCATTCCTTATAATAAAGACAGTGCCAGTACCATATCGATAGATGTATGGTGTCTGTGATCTTTAGATTCGGCCAATGCATTGCCATTATGCATCCAAATACTAACTTTAATGGATAGTTATAGCAAATACTAACTTTAATGGATAGTTATAGCAAATACTAACTTTAATGGATAGTTATAGCAAATACTAACTTTAATGGATAGTTATAGCAACAATTTATGAAAGTTGTGGTCTAGGTTTCATCAGTCAATCAGGAAAGTACTTTTAACCTAATTAAATTTGCATGGATTATCTTTATCTTAAGAAATAGCAGCATACCACAAGTTTTAAGGGATGGAGGGACGGATGAACTGAGAACAGGGCCCACTTGTATAAAACATCTCAAAGTTAAGGAAAATCTCAAGCAATGTATTGTCTATGGGAAATCTTAGACTTGAGGAAATCTCAAGAGTTTAAAAGTGGGCCCAGTACCTCAGGGGTGTACCATCTCTGTTTTAAGACTACTAGCCCACCTGCATTTTTACAGTAAATATTGAAAATTTCACTAGTCCCGACATAAAATCTATTTGCCCCAGGTGTTGGGCTAGTTGAACTGTGCACCCCTGTGTCTCTAGGTTTTATTTTTAAGCTGCATACAAAAGCCTTGGAACTAGCCGTCCCATATCTTACTTCAGCCAAGCTAGCCAGAAAACAGCAAATCAATAGGTGTCTCTATTTCAGGGATGAATAACATTGGAATGCAATTAATGAAAGTGGCCCTGGTCATATCATGTGAAGCGATATTGTGAATAGACCCCCTGGTACCTAAAAACTCCTTCTCCACCTTTTACAAACCATTACCCATAGAGTACGGTGACAACAGTCATTGGACTCGTCCCATAGTCACACAGACTAGCAGTGGACTCGTCCCATAATCACATGGACAAGAAGTGGACTTGTGACAAGCAGTGGACTCGTCCCATAATCACATGGACAAGAAGTGGACTAGTCCCATAATCACACGGAAAAGCAGTGGACTCATCCCATAATCATAAGGACAAGAAGTGGACTTGTTGATTAATCAGGATGACAGGCAATGAACATGTCAACTTATCAATCATTTTCAATGTAAAACAATGGAGAAATTAATATTACAGCCTTTCTGGAGATGATTACCACACACTCTCTTTCTTTGTATATATGACACAAAAGTACCAATCACTGTCCTTTATGTAAACAGGAAAACTGTCTTCATAGTGACTGGAATGAGCACAGACATATTAGCCTCCACTTGCTATTTAACATCATAAAGCCAGTCTTTTCAAACTGTCACTAACATCTTCTTGAGGTGTTGGTTTGTTGGTATTGTCATTATGAGGTATGGTAGGCACTTTTTGTTCCACGTCACCAATCAATCTTGGTGACCTTGACTCACAACATGCCTCCCCGTCCACCTCTCCTACTCTGGCACACACACCAGGATCTATCTGGTTACTGCCTACAGTCTCGTTGTCTAGCTCACCTGAGCAGGAATCTGTCTCCAGATCACTCGTGTCAGCCTGCACAGCTGCTGTTTGTCCACCTTCTTCAGATGCCTTGTCAACATTAGCTGAGGAGTCCGACATGTTATTGATACAAGTGTTACATGTGTCCTGTTTTTCAGCTGTAGACTCTGTTTTATTGTGCTTGCCTGATATCTCAACATAAGGTGTTGTGTGTGTCTGCTTCACAAGTACAGCCTCCGCCCTTGTCACCTCTGGCTCTGCAGGGTCTTCACCCTCTGTGTCTGAACTGAGCTTGTTGTGAAATTCTGGTTCGCTGTCAACTTCTGTTTCTGAAAAGTCACCCAGTTCTGCATGAGAGCCTTTAGTGTGCTCCCATACGAGCCTGACAGCATCTGGTGCCTGTAAGCATCCGTCTGTCTCCAAGTCTCCAGCCTCTGTGGCATCAAAGCCCTCGTAACCTAGATATTGTGGCCGGGCAGAAAGCATGTTCTGGATGTCTTGTGTGGTTCGCTGCAGAGCAGGGTTAAAGGTTTGACGAACTGGGAATCCTGTGTGGGTTGGGGCTTGTGTGCTGTTTCTACCTCCCAGGCTTGAACTGATGGGATACATCGGCTGGTTCAACACCTGTGTTACATTATCTGGAAAATTCAGCTGTGAGTTGTCCTGCCCATCAGAACCTCGTATGGCATTTTGTTGATAATTATGGAGTAATTCAGCAATTAAATTTTCATCTGTATTTTGTGGCTCGCTGACCTCCTGCTGGTCTGTCCGTTGTCCTGGTGATCCAGCCTTTAGATCCTGCAAGATCTTCTGAATATTCATCTGATCTACTTGAGAGTAACTGCTTCCTCCGACACTGCCAGTGGTGGCAGCAGCAGAAGGTGCAGGCCTGTTGAAGCCAGTCTCCATGGAAACCTCTCTGTCTGAACCATCTGATCCACTAGGCAGTAGGAGGGACACAGATGTTAAGCTGGTCGGGTCAGCTGCATTAATGGACTGCAGGTTTGGGTCCTGACCCCTGGTAAGTAGATTGGTCACCTCCTCTCCGGCTGTGAACATAGCATTGCTGCTGCGTTGGTAAACACATGTTCCTTCATATGTGTCAGTTGGTTCCTTCTTCACAATCAGCTGAGGAAGTTCAACTACAGGAGCATTAACTCCAAAGTGACTGATGGATTGTTCTGTTGTAGCTGTGCTAGTCTGTGTAGTCATGAGAGACACCCTGGGGCTAGGCATGAAACCTAAAGCAAAATATAAAAACTTATTAAAACATATATAAAGCATTCTACAAGGCCAGTAACGATCCCGCTCACAGGTCAATGTTGTTACAAACTATAGAATTCTACTAGGCTGGGAACGATCCAGCTCACAGATCAATGTTGTAACAAACTTATAGAATTCTACAAGGCCAGTAACGATCCCGCTCACAGATCAATGTTGTTACAAACTATAGAATTCTACTAGGCTGGGAACAATCCAGCTCACAGATTAATGTTGTAACAAACTTATAGAATTCTACATGGCCAGTAACGATCCCACTCACAGATCAATGTTGTAACAAACTATAGAATTCTACTAGGCTGGGAACAATCCAGCTCACAGATTAATGTTGTAACAAACTTATAGAATTCTACTAGGCTGGGAAGAATCCAGCTCACAGATCAATGTTGTAACAAACTTATATAATTCTACTAGGCTGGGAACAATCCAGCTCACAGATTAATGTTGTAACAAACTTATAGAATTCTACATGGCCAGTAACGATCCAGATCACAGATCAATGTTGTTACAAACTATAGAATTCTACTAGGCTGGGAACAATCCAACTCACAGATCAATGTTGTAACAAACTTATAGAATTCTACAAGGCTGGGAACAATCCCACTCACAGATCAATGTTGTAACAAACTTATAGAATTCTACAAGGCTGGGAACAATCCCACTTACAGATCAATGTTGAAACAAACTTATAGAATTCTACAAGGCTGGGAACGATCTCACTCACAGATCAATGTTGTAACAAACTTATAGAATTCTAAACGGCTGGGAACAATCCAGCTAACAGATCAATGTTGTAACAAACTTATAGAATTCTACCAGGCTGGGAACAATCCCACTCGCAGATCAATGTTGTAACAAACTTATAGAATTCTACCAGGCTGGGAACGATCTCACTCACAGATCAATGTTGTAACAAACTATAGAATTCTACCAGGCTGGGAACAATCCCACTCGCAGATCAATGTTGTAACAAACTTATAGAATTCTACAAGGCTGGGAACTATCCCACTCACAGATCAATGTTGTAACAAACTATAGAATTCTACATGGCCAGTAACGATCCAGATCACAGATCAATGTTGTAACAAACTTATAGAATTCTAAACGGCTGGGAACAATCCAGCTCACAGATCAATGTTGTAACAAACTTATAGAATTCTACAAGGCTGGGAACGATCCAACTCACAGATCAATGTTGTAACAAACTATAGAATTCTACAAAGCCAGTAACGATCCAGATCACAGATCAATGTTGTAACAAACTTATAGAATTCTACAAGGCTGGGAACAATCCAGCTCACAGATCAATGTTGTAACAAACTTATAAAATTCTACAAGGCTGGGAATGATCCCACTCACAGATCAATGTTGTAACATGTAACAAACTTATAGAATTCTTCAAGGCTGGGAACGATCCCACTCACAGATCAATGTTGTAACAAACTTATAGAATTCTACAAGGCTGGGAACAATCCCACTTACAGATCAATGTTGAAACAAACTTATAGAATTCTACAAGGCTGGGAACAATCCCACTTACAGATCAATGTTGTAACAAACTTATAGAATTCTACAAGGCTGGGAACAATCCCACTTACAGATCAATGTTGTAACAAACTTATAGAATTCTCCAAGGCTGGGAACAATCCCACTCACAGATCAATGTTGAAACAAACTATCTTGGCGCCCACTGTTTTACTTCAAAGGTTCTATGTTAGATTGATTTTTAATTATCTCTTATAGAATTCTACCAGGCTGGGAACAATCCCACTCACAGATCAATGTTGAAACAAACTATCTTGGCGCCCACTGTTTTACTTCAAAGGTTCTATGTTAGATTGATTTTTAATTATCTGTTGGATTGAGTCATGTGATATGTACTGGTAATTGCGCCTTTTGGTAACTTTTGATCCTAGATTCATACTGCTATGTTTGACCTATTTACTAACACAGTTCTCAGTGTGTGACGAGTGGAACCTTTGTCCATTACCTCTTGGGAAGTAGTGATAACAAACTGGAGCTGTTGAAGTTCAAGAGGGCTACATGGCAACCATTTTGTATTTCTAATCAGCCCCAAAATGAAACATGCACAACTTAGGACCTACGAAAATCAACATAGGAATTTTGATCAAGATCTGTCCAGTATCTCTTGAGAGGTAGTGATAACAAATTGAACTGTCAAAAGTCAAGATGGCTGTCTGGTAGCCATCCTATTTTTCTAAACATTCTAAAAATGAAACATGCAAAATGATTGACCATTGGAAACCTACATGTGAAACTTAAGAAATATCACTCCAGTACTTCATGAAAAGTAGCGCTAATATGTTCTAATCCTCAAAATTCAAGATGGCCACCTGTCAACCATCTTGGTTTTCCTAATAGTCTTAAAGGACAATATGCATAACAATGCATAACAATGGACCATGGGGAACCTACATGTGAAATTTGAGAAATATCATACCAATCTTTAACTCCCAAAATTTAAGATGGTCACCTCTTGACTATCTTGGATGTCCGATCAGTCCCATAAATTTGATATGTGTAAATTGGAGAAAGATCCCTCCTATACTTTCTGAGAAAAAGAAATAACAAGAATTGTTTAAGGACAGACCGATCAACTAACAAAGGATGCAGGGTGATTTGAATAGCCAACCATCTATTGATGACGGGCTAAAAATCCCACAAGGCTGGTAGAGTCCTACAAGACTAGTAACTATCGACTTACATAGCAAACCAGAAACTAGGGCTGGGGATCATATTACGACAAAGTCAGTGAAAACCTTTTTGTTGATGTAACTGGATCTTACCTCCGTTACCTGGTTTCTGTGTCCTTGTTGCTTTAAGCACAGCTCTGTGCTGGTCAGTGGAGCTGCTCAAGTTTATCCCAGACTCTACAAAAAATAACAACTCTCCTATATCATAACATTAGTGTAGGACTGTTATATATAACCTTGTTGCAGAGGTTTCATGTTTATTGAAATTAAGTTAGCCATGTCTGTATTTTTAAAACATCAACACTACATGTATATTTTATTTTTTTTAATTTTAAAATTCAAAAAAACATTTTTAACATCTACTGATGAGTATAATAAAACACTATAACCCAAAATCTTAAGATGAAGAACCATTTTGCACCGTTTTCGTTATTGGATTGAGTGAAGTTATTTACTGTTTTTATTTCTTTAAATTTGCCGGGTCAATATTTCACGTTTTTGTTTAACGAACATATTCATAGGGGTTACATTTAGCTGTACACCCGCTTCCTATATTTCGTGTTTCACCTATATATCAATAAAATTTGAAATAAACATAATTCCAGTTTGCAGTGAATGTATTGTGAGTATAATCGTTTGAGGGTAACGGGTCCACTGCTTGTAAATGTGTGTGGAAATATTTTGCTGCGTACACACTGTTCCCAAGAGTAGTCATGCACCAGTAACTTCACTCGAAAGAATGCACTATTATATGGAACTGATACTAAAGTGTAGGGAAACGTGCCTTTTAGGGCAGATATCTTACACAGGTAAGTACTAGTGAACTTCAGAACATGCACGTAATAGGGGAGAGTGGTGATCAATAAATTAGTTCCTTTGCACAATTCTCAAACCTTAAGTTACACATATGACTTGGTCAGTTTTGTGTGGTTTTTACTTGACTGACAGTTATTAAGTGATAGCCACTGTTATCACACTACATCTCTTGACCAATGGCTAAAACATGGACAGTTACGCGTTGAAACAGGCAGGTCTGTGAGCAGGTCAGTGACATATCTTTCTATCAGAATTTAATAGGTTAAGTATCCCATCTTCTATTTTGAGTTCATTATAGTTAACTCTAAATTGGTGTACTGGTGTTGAAGTCATAATTAGTCAGATAACGATACCGCTCTATGACAGCGTTACTACTCCAAAAGGTCAGTGATGTGCTAAAAAATTATTTTAGTCAAAACATAAATATAGCGAAAATAAAATCCCCGCAATATATAACCATACATCGAATAATCAACAAATTAGCATTGATTAAAGTGTTTAGGAATGTTTTAAATATGAACTCATGTAAATTGTAGCTGTAGTGTTCAGGCTATGTATTTATACACTGAAAATAGCAGCTCAGATTATACTCTCATAAATGAACCTCCTCATAGAACGACTATATAAGAGTCACACCAAATAGAGCTACTGGTATATCTTACACTAGACATTGGAATACATTGTCTTACCCTGGAGTAGGTCTGCTGGAGCACAGTAGTTCACTGCCATCTTCCGTTTCTTTGCCGTATGTGTTTCTAAAAAAATCCAAGGGTGATATTAAACACATACACCCATCAACACATCTAAAATCCCTAAGAAAGAGGCCTCTTTTATAGTTTGACAATACTAGCATGGACTTATTGTTTTATCTTACTACACACGTTACCACCCTCTTAATCGTGATACATATGGGATTCTTTATAATCCTCAGTGATCAAATAATGAATACCATTCAAGCTCACTACCATCCTGTGTGATGAAATGAAAACTACTTAAGCTCACTATCTGAGTGATGAAATGAACACCACTTAAGCTCACTACCATCCTGTGTGATGAAATGAAAACCACTTAAGCTCACTATCTGAGTGATGAAATGAACACCACTTAAGCTCACTACCATCCTGTGTGATGAAATGAATAACAGACTTGAGCTTGTTACCTACCTGAGTGATGACATGAATACCACTTAAGCTGATCACTTCCACTCTTGCTTATAAATTTTGGAGCTTATATAATGGCATGTGCTTGTTGAACAACAGGCAGATGGTGAATAGACTAAAAGGTACCTTTCATACATTAAAAACTGTAAACTCACCCTCATTTTCTTTGTACATGAAGCTGTAGGCTGCTGTCATTGCCTTCTGTTTGTCATTTATTTTGATCAACACTTCTTTTGCTCCTATAAGATTTTGGTCTTTATAAGGAGGTACTTCACACTCTATACACTGAAAAATATATAACCAGTAAACCTTTAACACTGAAATAAGTGTTACCAGTAAACTAATTACACTAAGATATATATGTGATACCAGTAAACTTATTACTTTGAGATATGTGTTACCAGTAAACTTATTACACTGAGATATGTGTCACCAGTAAACTTATTACACTGAGACATGTGTCACCAGTAAACTTATTACACTGAGATATGTGTCACCAGTAAACTTATTACACTGAGATATGTGTCACCAGTAAACTTATTACACTGAGATATGTGTCACCAGTAAACTTATTACACTGAGATATGTGTCACCAGTAAACTTATTACACTGAGATATGTGTCACCAGTAAACTTATTACACTGAGATATGTGTCACCAGTAAACTTATTACACTGAGATATGTGTCACCAGTAAACTTATTACACTGAGATATGTGTTACCAGTAAACTTATTACACTGAGATATGTGTTACCAGTAAACTTATTACACTGAGATATGTGTTACCAGTAAACTTATTACACTGAGATATGTGTCACCAGTAAACTTATTACACTGAGATATGTGTCACCAGTAAACTTATTACACTGAGATATGTGTCACCAGTAAACTTATTACACTGAGATATGTGTTACCAGTAAACTTATTACACTGAGATATGTGTTACCAGTAAACTTATTACACTGAGATATGTGTTACCAGTAAACTTATTACACTGAGATATGTGTTACCAGTAAACTTATTACACTGAGATATGTGTTACCAGTAAACTTATTACACTGAGATATGTGTTACCAGTAAACTTATTACACTGAGATATGTGTTACCAGTAAACTTATTACACTGAGATATGTGTTACCAGTAAACTTATTACACTGAGATATGTGTTACCAGTAAACTTATTACACTGAGATATGTGTTACCAGTAAACTTATTACACTGAGATATGTGTTACCAGTAAACTTATTACACTGAGATATGTGTTACCAGTAAACTTATTACACTGAGATATGTGTTACCAGTAAACTTATTACACTGAGATATGTGTTACCAGTAAACTTATTACACTGAGATATGTGTTACCAGTAAACTTATTACACTGAGATATGTGTTACCAGTAAACTTATTACACTGAGATATGTGTCACCAGTAAACTTATTACACTGAGATATGTGTTACCAGTAAACTTATTACACTGAGATATGTGTCACCAGTAAACTTATTACACTGAGATATGTGTTACCAGTAAACTTATTACACTGAGATATGTGTCACCAGTAAACTTATTACACTGAGATATATGTTACCAGTAAACTTATTACATTGAGATATGTGTCACCAGTAAACTTATTACACTGAGATATGTGTTACCAGTAAACTTATTACACTGAGATATGTGTCACCAGTAAACTTATTACACTGAGATATGTGTTACCAGTAAACTTATTACACTGAGATATGTGTTACCAGTAAACTTATTACACTGAGATATGTGTCACCAGTAAACTTATTACACTGAGATATGTGTTACCAGTAAACTTATTACACTGAGATATGTGTCACCAGTAAACTTATTACACTGAGATATGTGTTACCAGTAAACTTATTACACTGAGATATGTGTTACCAGTAAACTTATTACACTGAGATATGTGTTACCAGTAAACTTATTACACTGAGATATGTGTTACCAGTAAACTTATTACACTGAGATATGTGTTACCAGTAAACTTATTACACTGAGATATGTGTTACCAGTAAACTTATTACACTGAGATATGTGATACCAGTAAACTTATTACACTGAGATATATGATACCAGTAAACTTATTACACTGAGATATGTGATACCAGTAAACTTATTACACTGAGATATGTATTATATCACACTAGATACACTTGAATTTGTATGGATGTCAACCAGAAGTTAAGAAAGTCAACACAAAGCACCATAGTGTTCATTCAACATGTGTGTGATAGCATTCAGTCTACAGAAACAATATAACACTATCACCTACTTGTATACCTCTTATATATAAAATAGATTTGACTATTTCTGTATTTTTTATCTCGTTAATTCCCACTAGTAAATAGTCCAAAGACTATTGTCCTATCAGAGATCACTATTGCCCACTCTGGGAAATATCATGTGATGATGACATCTGTGTCATTGTAGTTGTCATGGATACAAAGCAGATCAACTGCAGGTACCAATTCCATTTTGAGCATTTGTAAATTATTCTGTTATTATGAAGTTGAAAAGTTGTTTTTTTCCAAGACAAAATAAACTTTGGACCAGCCCTGATCCCAAAAGTGTCTTTAAAAAATCAGAATGTTTGATATCAGTAATAGACTACACAATATTTGAGTTTCAAGATTAAAATAATTTTATGCTGAAGACTGTGACATCAAGTTCATACTTTGTTATATTGGTGACAGCTGCAGCATCAATATAACTAAAGCGTACCAGTAAACAGGTATAAGCTTACATTCTTTATTATGTTGACCTTTGACGCCTTTGCTGACCATCCAATTTCTTCATCAACAAACTCCACTTCCACCGCTGAAGACAGAGAGAAATCAATGACAGACGGATAAATAAACCTCCAAATTCCACACAGATATTGTTTTACTAAGTTCTTGTCATTAATTTTGCTTTTATATTTATCTGTCAGGTAGGTTAGCATTTCAGTTATAAAATATATAACAAAATATGAATAAATATTTTATACATAGGTGGATATGGCACAGTCCTAGTGTATAATACTCTAGCCGGGGTTGGCCCCCCAACCAAAAGTTGACATGTCATCACATGGAATTTTCAGAGAAATTATTTCTCTTCTGCCAACAACCAAGGTGGAGTATAAATGGTCTTGTTGCATGGTCTGTGCTATGGCTTTACTTATTGCAGATAGAAATGCCAGCTTTATCAAATGTTATATATTTAATTCATTTATGTATAATAACTACATTATACCTACTCAGTACTGCAAGATGTGTAACATCGTAAATGTATGTATAAATGGAAGTATCAATTACCTAAATGACAACTCCAGTACAATATATTGTGTTGGATGGTTTTAGAACAATTGATTTGACTGTATATATATATCGATGCCTACCTTTAGGGACGTAGGAGTCTGTTGTCAGGACAATCATTATGTAGTCCTTGGAGTTCTGTATTCCACTTGCTGGGGAAACATACGGCATAATCCTGTGTATCATAAAACACTTCCCTTCCTCTGTAAGACAAGCAAGGGGAGGCCACTCTATGACATGTTGTGGACACATTTTTAATACTTATAAAGCAATGTTTTCCTCAGCTTTCCAACTAATGCTGGTACACGAATTAGAACACATCCATGTCCATATCATATAAATTAAAATATTGACATTAGAAGTAATATCTGGATTCCTAGCTAGCTATTACGGTCATACATTTATAATTAGGATCCTTATATTAATATCTCATAAATATTTAGAAATAGCTTTGGTTTGTTTGTATTTTATGCCCTATTAAAATGCAGTGATATTACTATCAAGGCCTATGTGGGGCAGTCGCCAGGTACTGGCCACCGACTAGTGGTCAGTACTTGGCAACTGGCCCCTGTAGTCCTTGAACCCATGACCCAGTGGTTGAGGGCTAGTGATCATAGATGATTAGACACCTTAACCACTGGGCCACTGTGGCCCCATCAAGTATTTGGAGAGCTGCAGTATATCTGACAAACATTCCGCCAGTTTACAGGTAAACATTTTCTGTAGGTGCCATTATCAGTAACCAAAAGCTACACCAATATGTTAATCTTCTAGATTAGACAAACAATCAGCCCAGGAGGCTGAATATCTCATCACCTGCTTTTTTTTTTTAAAGAAGACAGATGGAACTAAAGAACATGTCTGATAACCTTGTTGTGTGAATGTTAATTTTGTATAACTGTATGATCATTCAGCATTTCAAAAAGAACTTGGAATTCTACTGCATTTTAACTGTCCGGAATATATTAGTTCAATCAGTCTCAAATTGTAAGTACTTAGCCTTCTCTATCTAATAATAAACACGAGTGTGAGTGAAAGGGTATGGATGAAAGTGAGAGCGAGCATGAACTGTGTGAGTGAGATGATAGAGAGTGAGTTGTGTGAGATAGAGTGAGCTGTGTGAGATCAAGTGAGCTGTGTGAGATCGAGTGAGCTGTGCATCTGGGGCCAGCGTGACTTACTTGTGTTACTCACGGGCCAGCATGACTTACTTGTGTTACTCTGGGGCCAGCATGACTTACTTGTGTTACTCTGGGGCCAGCGTGACTTACTTGTGCTACTCTGGGGCCAGCGTGACTTACTTGTGTTACTCAGGGGCAAGCGTGACTTACTTGTGCTAATCTGGGGCCAGCGTGACTTACTTGTGCTACTCTGGGGACAGCTTGACTTACTTGTGTTACTCTGGGGCGAGCATGACTTACTTGTGTTACTCTGGGGCCAGCATGCCTTACTTGTGTTACTCTGGGGCCAGCGTGAGTTACTTGTGTTACTCTGGGGCCAGCGTGACTTACTTGTGTTACTCTGGGGCAAGCGTGACTTACTTGTGCTAATCTGGGGCCAGCGTGACTTACTTGTGCTACTCTGAGGACAGCTTGACTTACTTGTGTTACTCTGGGGCCAGCATGACTTACTTGTGCTACTCTGGGGCCAGCATGACTTACTTGTGTTACTCTGGGGCCAGCATGACTTACTTGTGTTACTCTGGGGCCAGCATGACTTACTTGTGTTACTCTGGGGCCAGCATGACTTACTTGTGTTACTCTGGGGCCAGCATGACTTACTTGTGTTACTCTGGGGCCAGCATGACTTACTTGTGTTACTCTGGGGCCAGCATGACTTACTTGTGTTACTCTGGGGCCAGCATGACTTACTTGTGTTACTCTGGGGCCAGCATGACTTACTTGTGTTACTCTGGGGCCAGCATGACTTACTTGTGTTACTCTGGGGCCAGCATGACTTACTTGTGTTACTCTGGGGCCAGCATGACTTACTTGTGTTACTCTGGGGCCAGCATGACTTACTTGTGTTACTCTGGGGCCAGCATGACTTACTTGTGTTACTCTGGGGCCAGCATGACTTACTTGTGTTACTCTGGGGCCAGCATGACTTACTTGTGTTACTCTGGGGCCAGCATGACTTACTTGTGTTACTCTGGGGCCAGCATGACTTACTTGTGTTACTCTGGGGCCAGCATGACTTACTTGTGTTACTCTGGGGCCAGCATGACTTACTTGTGTTACTCTGGGGCCAGCATGACTTACTTGTGTTACTCTGGGGCCAGCATGACTTACTTGTGTTACTCTGGGGCCAGCATGACTTACTTGTGTTACTCTGGGGCCAGCATGACTTACTTGTGTTACTCTGGGGCCAGCATGACTTACTTGTGTTACTCTGGGGCCAGCATGACTTACTTGTGTTACTCTGGGGCCAGCATGACTTACTTGTGTTACTCTGGGGCCAGCATGACTTACTTGTGTTACTCTGGGGCCAGCATGACTTACTTGTGTTACTCTGGGGCCAGCATGACTTACTTGTGTTACTCTGGGGCCAGCATGACTTACTTGTGTTACTCTGGGGCCAGCATGACTTACTTGTGTTACTCTGGGGCCAGCATGACTTACTTGTGTTACTCTGGGGCCAGCATGACTTACTTGTGTTACTCTGGGGCCAGCATGACTTACTTGTGTTACTCTGGGGCCAGCATGACTTACTTGTGTTACTCACGGGCCAGCATGACTTATATAAGTACTTGCGTTATTCTTGGGCCAGTATAACTTACTTGCATTACTAAGAGGAGGTGTTATACAATGCATGTGGTACAGTTGCCCAGACACTTGGTAATGCGCCTCGACATACAGACGGAAGTCACGGCATTCTTTCATATTTTTGTTAGCTGTCCAATAATCATCTACAACACAACAATTATGCATACAATACACTTTCTTTTTATCTGTACTTTAAATATCAGCCAAATATGTGCATTTATCTTCAATATTTCCTATGACAGTTATTTAGATATCTTATTATGCAACATTAAAAGTGACATTAAATAAAGCACATCTTAATACTGAACTCTGTTGAGAGCCTGGTATTGTCTGTTGTAAACATTTATATTTCTGAACTCTGTTGAGAGCTAGCCTGATATTGTCTGTTGTAAACATTTATATGTCTGAACTCTGTTGAGAGCTAGCCTGATATTGTCTGTTGTAAACCTTTTATTTGCAAGACCACACACTTGTGTTTTTCTAACGAATCAGAAAGCACAAGTTTATTGCGGGGATGAATATATTCACGAGTGAGTGGAGCGCACGAGTGGATATATACATCTGCGCAATAACTGTTATAAATGTTTAATTAAGTAACAATAACAATACCATTTTTCATGTCATTGTTATAAAAGTCCATTTCCAAAGCTTTCCTGCGACGATTCTGCAGACTTGTTTGGTATTCGTTTCGTTTTGGAATTTTTAGGGTGGCTTTGCAGGTGCTAAAGAAAATAAAAAAGAATATTTAGAACTAGGAAAACTTACAAAATAATAAACATGACACAGGACCATAAACAAGAGATCCCAGAGGGAGCTTGGCGCCCACCATTGTACCATCTTCATTAGTTCTTTATCAGTTTGATCTTTTCTCTTCTTTCCTCTAATCTGTTTGATCGAGTCATGTTAACAGTAAATGCACCTTGAGGTAACTTTTGATCTAAACTTAAATCTGCTGTGTATAAAAGACAACCTTCAAAGTGAGTTTGTCATTTCACATATTTTCTAATACAGTACTTAAGTGAAAGAAATAGAATCAATCATTGCAATATGAGAAAGATCTGTTTAGTTTTTCCTTCAGCCATTTTGTTTTTATGATCAGTCTCAAAATATAACATGCACAACTAAGGATCAAGGGGAACCTTCATATCAAGTTATTCCTGAGAAAAGCACTAACAAACCTTCAATGTCAAAATCAAAGATTTGTTTACCCGATCAGTATCATAAGAAAATATCCATAATTTCATACCAAGGGGAACCTACGATTTTTTTTTGAAGAAAGATCTCTCCAGTACTTCCTGAGTAATAGCCATACCAACCCTTCACTTTCAAAATCCAAGATGGCTCCCTGTCAGCCATTTTGTTTATCTGGTCAGACTCAAAAGTAAACCTGCACGACCATGGACCAAGGAAAACCTGCATATCAAATTTGAGAAAGATCCCTCCAGTACTTCCTGAGAAATAGCGATAACAATCCTTCAATGTCAAAATCCAAGATGGCTGCCTGCTGGCCATTTTGTTTATCTGATCATTCTCAAAATTAAACATGCACAACTACAGACCTAGGGAAGCCTACATAACAAACTTGGGAAAGATCCCTCCAGTTCTTCATGAGAAATAGTGATAACAAACCTTTAATGTCACAATCCAAGATGGTGGCCTGTCGGCCACTTTCTATATCCCATCAGTCTCAAAATTAAACATGCACAACTACAGACCAAGGGGAACCTGCATATTTAATTTGAGATGGATCTCTCCTGGACTTCCCGAGAAATAGCTATAACAAACACTAACTGTCAAAATCCAAGATGGCTACCTGTCGGCCATTTTGTTTATCCAATCAGTCCCAAAGGTTCTCCTACACAACAAAGGACCAAGGGGAACCTACATATAAAATTTGAGAAAGATCCCTCGGGTGCTTCCTGAGAAATAGTTATAACAAACCTTCACTATTAAAATCCAAGATGGCTGCCTGCCACCATGTTGTTTATCTGTTCAGTCTCAAAGGTTTCCCTGCATAACTAGGGACCAAGGGGAACCTACATATAAAATTTAAGAAAGATCCCTCCAGTACTTCCTGAGAAATAGTGATAACAAACCTTCACTATCAAAATTCAAAATGGCTGCCTGTCGGCCATGTTGTTTATCCGATCAGTCTCAAAAGTTGCCCTGCACAGCTAAGGACCAAGGGGAACCTACATATAAAATTTGAGAAAGATCCCTCTGGTACTTCCCGAGAAATAGCGATAACAAGAATTGTTTACGGACGGACGGCGGACGACGGACGACGGACCACGGACGGACCATGGACGGACCACGGACGCAGGGTGATTTGAATAGCCCACCATCAGATGATGGTGGGCTAAAAACAACATTAGATTTATCATCAATATTCATTATTACCTGACTCTCTATTTAAGTGTATATGAAGTGTTTATGACTGTTTTAATAAAAAAAATCCCTGGAAAAGACTGAAAACCCGTAAAATAATGTCAGGGTGCAACAGTCGACTGTTGCACATTTACTGTTGCATGCGCGACAATCGTGTGCAGACAATTTCCCTGTCGGTGGCCCCACTCAAATGTCTTTTTGATACAGGTTTGTTGTTGTCTAGTGAAAATGGCGAATAACGGCAGATTTAAGGATGTTTCTGAGCAAGATTTGGAATTGCTTATGGAAAATAGTGACTCTCTTAGTACAAAAACGTCATTAAGGGAGCTGTGAATATTTTGGATAAATAGTGTGCAGAGAAAGGTGTTATGATCGACGAAAGCTACAGTAATGAAGTACTGATCGCGTTTCCGTTTTTTTAAATAGAGAGTCAGGTAATAAATCATTTGTTTTATTGGTACTGGGGGAATAGTCAAATCCTTGACCCTCGGTAGCAGGGAAGACCTAGGGAACTGGTGCCCAAGGCCTTCGGTTCCCTAGGTCTTCCCTGCTACCTCGGGTCAAGGATTTGACTGTTCCCCCAGTACCAATAAAACAATTGTATAATGGCATTGAACATTACATTAACAATGTACAGTTACTGCCCATGGACTTACCATTCATAGTTATTGGCCTTGTTGATCGGCACTGTTGCCACGAACATGCCATCTGAACACTTGTCCCCGATTAACCAGTAGGGATGTGCCTTCTTGTTGTTAGTATCTACGGTGTGGAGGAAAACGGTCACATTGCCCTCTATTCCACTGAACTGAAATACCACAATTATTTCTCATATGAGTCAGGTTTTTGTCATACAATATCACACAAACAACATATCATCGCTTATATTATATTGAGTTGATAACAAGACACTTAGAAATTTCCAAAACATAATGTTTTAATCAAAATGAACACATACCTTGATTTTGAGTAGCTCCTCCTTGCCTGTCCGTCTGTTGTTCAGTTCCGAGTCATACCTGAATCTGATGATGGAGTTGATCAGAGAAACTTCCATTGTAGGATTAGACGCCGCCTCCACTGGAATATAAAACACTTTATATCAGTACTATCATAAACATACACCACTCCTCTCTGAGTGGAACTTCCAAATTTGTGGAGGGAGGGCAGGCTCCCCTGTAAACTAGGTCCCTGGGTTTAACAGTCAACCAGCTCAGTCTCTTTGATCCAATGAGAGTGTATGTCCTTTGTTAACTGATTATTGAGGTGTTCCTGTCATGCAGTGTCCTCTAAACATAATGTTTCTTGTTACACATTAGGCTGTTTTTATACTGCTACATTGTATATCATGTAAGTCAGCAGGTTGAAAAAACTCAAAAATGAACACATACAGCATTTACTACTCCAGGTAAAACAGTACATGTTTAACAAGAGTTACAGAACCATTATTAAGGTATACATTGTATAAATCTACACTTTAGAATTAGCATGTACGTCACAGACCTTTGTGTAATTACAATGACAATAACTTCATATAGCCAATCCTTAAAATGGGAAAGTTTCATTGCAATGTTTCAAAAGAATGGAATTGTGTGTCTTTCATTCTCATTAATATTGAGAAAGAAAAAAATCCAAATGCGGATAAACTAGAAAAAAGAGTGGCAAGAATATAAGCAGACATAAAGTTTTTTTGTATTTGATAGAAACAAAATTTAGAAAAAACTATGATTAAAATAGAGCCTCCTGGCCTAAATGGGCTGTTTAGCAAGTCTATACTGAAAGAATAATTACCCTGTTTCCCTAAGTTTACGAACTATATGACAAGATATGATTCTCATGTTTTTTAGTAAAATGATGGACAGACCTTAAGATTGTTGTAAAATCTTCACATAAATACTTCATGATTTTACACAGAGTTCTGCCATACACTAAAACATCAAAGAGTCATTCCTCAGTTTAAGGAAGATAGTCCCATAATTTTTCTGCTGTATTCAGGCAGTGAAACATTATTTTTATGTTAAATTGATTTGTTAATTTCTCTCTATATACTGTGAAATCAGATATATTCGTGGGGCACAAATTTTGTGTTTTCCCGAAGAAACACCATTTGTGGATTACAAGTACCCGCTCATATGGAGAATAGCTTTGTGTCAACCTGTAATTATACTTTGTGGGACCTATGAATTCATGGATGAAGAGTACCAAATTTAAAAAAGAAGTAACTATATCACAGTATATACAGACAATTACAGGTTGCAGGCCTTTTCAATGGTGCTAGAACATTTTGAAATCATACTCTCAGAAATGTTGCAGGAAAGTACTAGCGTAACATAGATCATGTCCAGAAATGTGATGAAGAAGCTCCCTACTTCATAATCAACAAGTTTTGGGATCTATGTCCTGTGGCAGACGTCTTTTGTGAAAAAGAAATCATGATAAGCTTCTTTCTTTCATATTTAATGAAATAGTTTGATGTAACGAATGGACCTTAAAGTCTAAAAAAATTGGAACTCTTCTACCCTTGATACAAGATCACTGGAACTCTACCTTAATAAGTCAATCAAGTATACAGGATAGGGTCAACCTTACCTGGCTGTGGTATTGAGGACAATATTGGTGCAAATGGTGATGGCTGGGATCTCCCAAGTGATCCTTGTGACCCTTGTGACATGAGACTGCTGTGAGAACTGTCGTTACTGTCATTAGCCCCTCCACCAAAAATATGATGAAATAGTTGATCCGCATCAGGGCCATCCACCAATCTCATCATATCGGAGGGCAAGATTTCCAGATCTGAATCAGAAGTTATACTTACTATCAGATAAAGATGTGTGATATTTCTTTTACAATGTTATATTACTTGCCTTCAATTGTATTTTATATACAAATTTTATTCAAAAAATAATTCACATATTTTTATCATATTGATATTTAAGTTTAATTTGCATCCTAAACAATAATAGCAAACAAAACAATATGGATGATGGCATAGTGAAACCACTCTTCTATAGAATCACATGGTACTAAAATGCTTGGAAACCACATAACAATAGAATCACATGGTACTAAAATGATTGGAAGCCACATAACAATAGCATCACATGGCACTAAAATGCTTGGAAATCACATAACAATAGCATCAAATGGTACTAAAATGCTTGGAAACCACTCTTCTATAGAATCACATGGTACTAACATGCTTGGAAACCACATAACAATAGAATCACATGGTACTAAAATGATTGGAAGCCACATAACAATAGCATCACATGGTAATAAAATGCTTGGAAATCACATAACAATAGTATCACATGGTACTAAAATGCTTGGAAATCACATAACAATAGCATCAAATGGTACTAAAATGCTTGTTCTGTACTACAGAACTAGATGGTGCTAAAATGTTTGGAAACTCTTCTAGTTTCTATTTGATAATTTGATCGCAGGTAACAACTACCATCACATCTTCCCAAATAAAGTTCTGGTCATTCAGAAATAACAAATCTTGTGTTGTCACATTATACGAAATAGAAGTTTGTGTTGCACTGCATGAAAACTGTCTCTACCACAAAGTAATATTCACAAGGTGTGTAATGATAAATCACTCATTACATATAGCATGTATATTTATCATCAATCTACTTTACTAGTACCGGGATATCAGAAATCCTGCTAATGTTATACAGGATTCTACTTTCTTAATATCTAAATATTGAAAATGATTTCAATGCTCCTTGATAAATCTTACTTCAATATCGTAAACACCGTTAGCAATTCTTACCAATGCCACAACCGTGACAGCTGGTGGAGATTGTGGCCCTGCTTGATGTCATCACTATTTGTCTACTAATTACAATGTATATAAGTAATCAAAATATTTAGACTATAATGACATGATGAATTACTTCATGTACTTACTTAGACTGGGGACACTGGTGTCCTGAAACATACAACACATCCCTATTACTTCACATACCAGCACTTTCCTTATCTCTATATAGCAATTATGGTATTTTAAATCTACATGTATATAATGATAGCAATTATGTATATTCAATGTTTTATCAGGAAAATAACCTTGTTATCAGGTATTAGTATCAATGGTGGTGCCATACATATAATATAATCCATGTTGAGACACACCCTTACAATCAGGTATTGGTATCAATGGTGGTGCCATACATATAATATAATCCATGTTGAGACATCCCCTTACAATCAGAATGTACATTATCACAGGATTTTACCTGAGGTATTGCCCAGTGACTGACCCTCAGACTGCTGCTATATCAAATGCCTTAGGCTTGTAAGTGGTATCATCTCAGAATATGATAATTCCTATCTATGGTTGTAAATAAATACAAGTGGTATCTGCAGTGACAGTATTCTTATACATACATGCATACTTTTCTTATTATCATCTTTACTATTTCTCCAACATTAACCCAACCTCTTTATACATATATGTTTCACCATATTTTTTATTTTTATTCTTTAATTTTCAAAGTATTCCACCATATTACATGCACATATAATGTTATTTATGAAGTACATACATGTACCAGTACTATCCTTGAGTGTTTAATTGTAGAGCCTTAGAATGTAGTCACTATGAAAAACACTGTAGGTCTATGGGAATCATTTGCTATATTGGCTAAGTTGTCTAATAAGTTATTTCTTGTGATGTGTATGATTCAATGATAAGTATAATAGTAAACGAAAATAGTTCTGTAAAATTACTTTTCTTTCTTCATTATTACACATGTTAGTACAGAATGTATAATTTTCTTAGTCAAGGTCTGGTCTATGAAAATTTCAGTTGGTCTACAAGAAGTCAGTATTCCAGTGCATAGATTTAGTGTCTATTGTGTGTAAAATCTAATTTCTAAGACTAATTCTTGGTAAATGTACCAATTATATCCTTCTTTATCCAATAGCTATTACTGTCTATGGTACAAACCAGTATCCTTACCATAGAAGAATAAATCAGTAACAGGGAAACATTAACCCAGAGACACTACAAGCTACAGTAGTTGTTTTAGTAAAACATTTCATAATAAACTGTATCACCAGACACCTGTCATCTGGCGTTTCCATGATTGATGATGTACTTATCCTAAAAGTGGCACAATAAATGTCTACAACATTCATGGATAGAATGTTACAGACATCTAGAAATTAAATTAATCAAGACAAAGATTACAGAACAGAAATAGATTTTAAATCTACATGTATATAATGTATGTGTTCTAACTTATTCTAATGTTGTACATTTGTAGTTTAAGATTTAAAATGTAGTTACCTCGTTTTCCACTGGGTCCTTGAAATTCATCGATGCAGATAAGTATTTGTTATCAACAGGTTGTAGTTTCTGCAATAGAAGAATTGTATTTGTTGTTTCATCGCTAACTACGTATTACATTGAAAAAGATGCCACATATATGATGATAAGTTTGATTTGATATAATGTATCAAATCGTATTCTATAAAACTACATGACAAGAAAGGGCCAATTTGAGTTGTTATAGTTAAAACATATCCCAGTAATTCAGCTTATTTTAAAAAAGTAAATAATAACTATTTTACTGATAACTTGTGACGGATTTCGAAATACATGGCCATCTTCTCAGTGATTCAGTTCGTCTAGTAATGCACGTACATGGTTAATCGTTACTTACTCACTCTTGCAGAGGCGTTTAAATGGAAATTCCTTGGGGTTTCGTACTTTGAAATATAAATAAAGCCTATGAGCTAAAATATCTATTTTTAGACTGCTTCCGAAAGGACAGTGCTTACCTAATTTCAGGTTGGTTTTTTCTACTTTCGGTTTGGAATGTTATGACATTTAGCTTATGCTCATTTTCAAATCGAAGATGTGAACCGTAAGGTCCGTAAGAAAATTGTAACAAATAAAAGTGTGTATTATATCACTCAATAGGCTTCAGCACTGTCAGTGGACACGAAGCAATCACATATGATATTATTTCCCTCTTCCTGTTGTGTTTTCACTTCAAAACATCAAAACGAGTCTGATCATATCCGCCTGTAGACGCTTGCGGTATGTCTTGTCTAAATGGAATTCGGAAGTGTATTTTTAGTCCGGATCGCGTAGCATTTTGATTTATTTTTAATGATATCAAAATCATCTTAAATTATATACTTATGAGCTCTGTATTTTTCTAGACCCATATTGGGCTTCGTTTAATATAGATGTGTTGGTTTCTACAAGATAATAAAAATATTAGTTGTTCATGTAGGTTTTCAAAAGGCAAAGAGAAATTAAATATGTCATCCTGTAATAAAATACATTCCGAATATGTTTTACCTTGTAATACAATACAGTCTGAATATGTATCACATTGTGGTGAATTACAGCCCGAATATGTACTTAAAATAAATGGTGTCAATGGGACTTGTTTGGAAAGTCCATTTTTGTACATTGAAATAAATATCAAAATGGTCAGATATTCTTAAAGGGGTTCCCCAGGGATCTATCCTGGGCCCCCTTCTTTTCAACATATTTATAAATGATATTTTTGATTGTGTTGAAGATTCATCTCTTTACAACTATGCAGATGTTACATCCATAAGGATCCCACGTGGGTTTTCTCCGGGTACTCCGGTTTCCTCCCACACTAAGTCCCCCCACACGCTAACATCCGGGCCAACAAGAGTGATTAATATAAGTTGAAATAGCTTGTTTCATAATTGTTGTAAAATAAATAAAGTTTATAAAGGATCCTGCTGTCTTAAAATTCATTTTAGAAAAAGATTGTAGTCATGTTATTGATTGGTTTAGTAAAAATTATATGAAAGCCAATCCTGAAAAGTTTCAGGCAATCAGCATTGGAAAACGAACATTTGATAAAATAAAATCTTTTGATATTGGAGGTGTATCTCTTAATTGTGAAAACAATGTCAAATTGCTAGGTGTACATTTTGATTATTTATTGAACTTTGACTATCACATCTCAGAGCTCTGAAAAAGGCCTCCAGACAATTATCTGTACTGAAAAGGATAGGTAATTTTTTGTCTATGGAACGGAGACAAATTATTTACAACTCATTCCTTGTTTCAAGTTTTAATTATTGCCCTCTTGTTTGGCATTTCTGTTCGGTAAAAAGTGTACGGAAAAGGGAAAAAAATCAAGAAAGATCATATACTGACTTTTCGTCTTCCTTTGAACTTTTAGTCCAAAAATCAAACTCTGATTTACTACATATAAGACGTTTGAAAGACATGGCGTGTGAAGTCTATACAATAGTTAAGAAAATCTCTCCACGCTTTATCCATGATATGATTGAAATAAAGGTAACTAATTATAATTGCAGACAAGAGAATACAGCTGTATTACCTAGGGTCAACACTACAAGGTATGGACTCAAATCTTTCTCCTACGAGGCCGCCCGGTGTGGAACAATCTTCCCAATCAACTCAGAAAAGTAGAAAGGTACAATGAATTTAGGAGACTGGTCCAGACCTGGGATGGCCCCATTTGCTCTTGTAGTGTCTGCCGCAGTGTGTAGTACATGTACATGCGGCTAGTCCGCTTTGGTTCATGTTTAGTTATGTGTGTGTTTTTATGCTGCTTCTTCGGTTTGTGCGAATGTTTGCTCTTATTATTATTTTATTCATTTAATTTATTTTAGTACTATGTTCCGTTTGTTTTACATGTTGTAAATGTGTTTTATATATAGTGCTGATAGTGGAAAACTGTAGTTCATAATGTCTGTTTTTATGTGTATGTGCTTTGCTTCAATGTTTTATACTAATATGTATTTTATGGTAAGAATTGCTGTTCTGCTATATGTATGCATGTATATATATTTAGCTTATAACTTTGCATGGAGACTTATGTTTTAAAACTTTCTGTTTCATAATGTTTTATATATGTAATTTCTTGAATTGGTGCTTTTTACTTATGTTTGTCGGAATAATAGGTTTTAATAGCGAATGTTAAATGTTTTTAAATATCCGACGTTAAATAAAGTTTATTGTATTGTATTGTATTGTGTTGTGTTGTGTTGTATTGTATTGTATTGTGTTTATTGTATTGTGTTGTGTTGTATTATATTGTATTGTGTTGTATTGTGTTGTATTGTATTGTGTTGTGTTGTATTGTGTTGTGTTGTATTGTGTTGTATTGTATTGTATTGTTGTATTGTATTGTTGTATTGTATTGTATTGTATTGTATTGTGTGTCACGAACCTGTTTTAGATCACCACGCCTTACAATGGAGTGTTCAACCGTGAATAGAGTTTATTGTATTGTATTGTGTAGTATTGTATTGTATTGTGTTGTATTGTGTTGTATTGTATTGTGTTGTATTGTATTGTGTTGTGTTGTGTTGTGTTGTGTTGTGTTGTATTGTATTGTATTGTATCGTATTGAATTGTATTGTATTGTGTGTCACGAATCTGTTTTAGATCACCACGCCTTACCATGGAGTGTTCAACCGTGAATAGAGTTAATTGTATTGTATTGTGTTGTGTTGTGTTGTGTTGTGTTGTATTGTGTTGTATTGTATTGTGTTGTATTGTATTGTGTTGTATTGCGTTGCGTTGCATTGTATTGTATTGTATTGTATTGTATTGTGTTGTGTTGTATTGTGTTGTGTTGTATTGTGTTGTGTTGTATTGTGTTGTATTGTGTTGTGTTGTATTGTATTGTGTTGTGTTGTGTTGTGTTGTGTTGTGTTGTGTTGTATTGTATTGTGTATCACGAACCTGTTTGAGATCACCACGCCTTACCATGGAGTTTTCAACCGTGAATAGAGTATCGCAAGCGATACAATAAGGCTGATCTTCAAAAGTTAGTAACGCATGGAGCTTATGACTGAAAAAAAATCTTAAAAATTACAAATATTTGCCGTTTAATATTAAGATATTCTAAGATAAGACGTTAGTTCCGTAGAAACCTGGATAAAGTGTATGACTTGGTGATGCATATAGCCTGCCATATAAGAGAGTAGAAATACAAATTCGTCTGTTGCAGTTATCCAACTTTTGAGTAATAATTAGTTGCTTTAGTCCAGTTTCAATATTCTCTCCGAAGAGGTGTTTGGTAGTTTGAATATGTTTTTTATGTATCATCATCTGTAGGAAGGAGCGTTTAAATTTATTTGAAGGTGTCAGTTTGGCCTGATCCACACGTTTCCCTATCTCTGTTGTCATCACTAGCTGTTCCAACAACTGTGCATAAGAACAGAAATGCTGCAAAAAGAGAAGGCGATCGGAGAGGTTCCCGTCAAAAAGTATTATCAAATGGTTAACTGTTACCTCATACAGTAAAGAGGGTTCCAAATCACGGTGTTCGGTGCTGATATAACGACAACAGGTTTATTTCTTCAAACCGAAGAAAACAACTTTGTATTTCATCTTTGGAATAAGATGAATACTAGAACGTCTGTTCCAATGAAACAACGAAGTTTTAGGGTTTATCTTTGGGGACAGGTTTCTTTATTTCATAGGAGGCTACAAAGATACTGGTTAACTGACTCTTTAACGCAGCTGGTTCCTTTGTTCCTGGTAAAGGACACCGATGACTTGCGATCCCATCGCCGTCTGTATCGAAGGGTACCGGAATCACTTTCGATTATCACGTTCCAAACAGTTGGACCGGTTAGACCACAGTAATTTGTTAATAAGAGCGTAGCTCTCGGGCGCCAAAGGCGCCTTTAATGGTAACACATGCGTGCGTAAACAGAGTTGCTTCCCCTTTCTACGCCTTGCCCTTGATTTTTTTCGTCGGGAAGTAGCCCTCCAGTGGGGAAACCGGATATGTATCCTTGAAGCAAAGACAATATTGAGTTTCACCCCATTCATGAACATCTTCATATAGTGAAAACAATACCCACTTTTATTAATTGTTTATTTAAATAAACACTAATATACATTCTGTGTGAAAAAAAATCTATCACATAAATTTTGATACTGGCATGAAACGTCGTTCAGAGATTATCATACGTTGACGTCACAATCACGCCACACTCCATCGGCCTTCATCGGTTATTTCCGGAAGGATGAAAAATAACCGGGAAATCTTGGAACTGATGGCTGTTGCATTTATCTCTTTGTCGTTGCTTCATGACATTTTTATTTCAGTTTTTGACACAGGCACAAAAAGTAAAAACGCGGATGTTTTCTGAAGATCCTTTTTGTTATCAACCAGGTTCTGTTAATATTTCTACCGGGAGATATTTTCAAAAAGAGCCGCATTAAACCAATAGGTAAACGTGTACATTTATTTATTTTTCATCGTCTAAAATTTCATCAGCTTTTGATTTCCATTTATAGAGGATATGAACGAAATAATTAACATTTTTGAAAGTCCGGTTATAGTCTTTACATAATTTATGTATGCATCTTAGTTTAAACATATTGTATTGCCAAAATAGTGACAACAGGATTGGGCACAAGTTATTACAACATTATTTACGCCCTTTCCTCAAATATATACATCAGATTTACAAAAAGGTCACAACTGGGTATCAAATAATATGTATAATAGTAACATTACAACAACAGAAACAAAAAGAGAAAGAACAACATTGAACAGTCTCACAAATTGAGTATAGAAATATAAAAATGTATGCATCACCACTCATAAAAGAAACAACGGATAATTCATTTATGTCGAAATCAAAAATCAACGCTCTTTTTCAGCAACGTATAACTTATAACTATAGTTACAGACAGAAACTGTTTAATTGTATTTGGCATCATTACATGTTAAACATCAGTGACAGTTACACAATTTTAAATTCAATCCGGTGTTTCAGGATGGAATAGGAATTCTAAACATCGATATAACGACAATCTCAATTCTACATCAAATTATTGCAAGGTTTTCCGTTTTTTAATTTCATTTTTTAACTAACAAATCTATACATTTACTTTTATAGACATATGGTCAAATATGTAATATGCACTTTTTTCTATAGCAATTACCAAACATTTGTTCCCCACCTTATTTGAATCATTCTTTTTGTGACCTCACGGAAGCACGCAGAGGATTTAATTCTT